AACGGCAGATTCAAGACCAGATGGACACAGTGAACCCTGTCATCAGCAGCACCTCAGAGGCCAGTGTGGTCAAAGTTAATTACAGTTTCTTAAATCCAGCAACTTATGAATTGCCCTTCTTCGTGGCACCCCACTTTTATTTTCTCTAATCCCGTTTACCCTCTTCCTTTCTAGGAAGTATCTGGGTAGTATCAGAAAGTAAGTTCCAGGTTAATATTAAGGTTTCCTTGAATTAATTAATTGACTTATTCTTTTTGTTTTCATTTATTAAGATAGAATATCATGCAGTCCAGGCGGGCTTCACACTCTCTGTGTAGGCTAACCTCGGTTCTTTGGTTTTCATTTCCCAAGTGCTACAATTATAGGCAGCAGTAGACTAAAAGAAAACATCTAAAGTTTAACAGTTTTAGTGCTCAGAAATCAGAGGTTTACTCATGCTAGGCAAGTGCTCTAATTCTGAACTATATCAGTAGCTTTAAACCTGGGTGTGTTTTTTTTTTTTTTTTTTTTTTTTTTTTTTTTTTTTTTTTTTTTTTTTGTTTTTTTTTTTTTTTTTTTTTTTTTTTTTTTTTTTTTTTTTTTTTTTTAGTTAAAAATCCTTACATCATGCAAACATACTTCTTTTCAAATTAGAAGAAAATCATCATCCGTGTGTGCCCCTGCTATGGTGTGTGTGCCTGCTTTGTCGTGTGCCCCTGCTAGTGTGGAGGTCAGAAGACAGCCTTGTCGAGCTTGCTCCTTCCACCTTGAAGTGGGTTCCAGGGACTGAACTCAGGTTAGCGTGGCATGGGTTTCACTTACTCTGCATTCTCTTCAGTTTTGTGATTTTTGTTTATTATTATTATTGAGACAGCATCTCACTGCACAGCCTTGGCTGGCTTGGAACTCACAGAGATCCACCTGCCTCTGCCACCTGATTAAAGTCATGCACCACAACAGACGACAATACTTGTTTATTTAAAACCAAACTTAACTGAGAGAATATTACTCTCTACTGTTGCTTTTATTCTTCCTGCCTGGACATTTACATGCTTCTGCAAAATTAGTCCCCTTTTTTTTTTTTTTAATTGAAATGTTTCCTTATTTTATACTGAGTTCTTCCTGGAGCCTTTCAGGAGGTGGTTTTCCTTTCCATTCATAGAGACAGTCACGGCTAGATCGGAGTTTGCTCGATTGTCATTCATCTTCTTATATTTTAAAACGATCACCTGCCCTTTGGCTTCCCACATAATGGAGCAGATCTGTTAGCCACAGCTGACAGTCTTATGCTTATTTTCCCTCCCCCATGTTTTCCCCTGCCCCCCTCCCTCTCAGGACCTCTCAGGTGTGAGGTATTTGCTGACTCAGGAGAGGCCAAGCCACAGAGCTAAGAAAGGAGAAGGGCACAGGATGCTGGCAGTTGAAGAGAGCGCAAGTAGTGGAGAGAGACAGGACAGGCACATAGGCTGCTGGGCAGACTGGTGAAGGTGAAGACAAAGTCTAAAGAGCTCTCAGCCCAACGCTGTTGCAGGGTAGCCACGAGGGAAGACTGCTCAGACACAGGATTGAGCCAATAGAAAGTCTTTATTAGCGGGTAGGAGACTGCACTGGGTGTTTGGAATCCCGGTGTAGCCCCGAGGCTTCCTTTGAGCCTTTCAGCACAAAAACCACCAACAGGGTAGACATATTTCAGGTAACAAGAGCAGGTAGCCAGGGGCAGAACTATAGAAGCCAAAAAGTAAGGACAGTAACTTTACAGACTTTCCCAGAACTATGGGCTTTGATGGATTTGGCCTTTGCTTTAGTTTTGGCAGGTGGTGCTGTATACATGCTGAGTTTTACAGGCTGAATGGTACTTCCATCATGGCGTCAGTTGTATAAAACCTACACAAACACGCCATTCTAAAAGAGGTAGTTACATAACAGATACATCACTGTCTACTTTGGGGTTTCCTAGGTATCTGATGTTAGTCATTTTGTGCTTACTTATAGCCACTCCACCTCACATCCAGCATTTGCCCTTTTGACCCATGGTCGATATCAGCATCATGTTCTCTAAGATGCCTGTCGCTCACAGGCATTCAGCAGTCTTCATTGTCGGCTTATAAATAGGTGTGTAAATGTCCTATTGAAGTTTCCGTTTCTATTGTGTTTAGTATGTTTGTGAGAGTTTTTCCTCTCTATCCACAAGATCAGTATATTTTAGTCGCAATTTCATTATTCTCGTTTGTACTTTCCTGGAGGATTTAAAATGGCACATATCATTTCTTACGCTTCTCCCATTTCATCTTCTTAGTGTGTTTTAACTAATTTTTGTTTTTGATTTTTATTTCCCTGCCTTTCCAATACCTTCCTTTCTTGATTGACTTGGCTTCTGGCTTCTGTCAATCTGCACTGTTAAAGGAATTGTAATGTTTCTGGGTGGCTCATCTCAGGAGCACAGGGTTTGAATCTTCTCTAAGACTCTGCTTCCAGGCTCTCTTTAGTGGATTCTCTTTCAATGACAAAGCTTGAACACTGTGGCTCCCTGCACACCTGATTTTTAAAGCATGTAATATCTCCCTCACTTGCAATTGTATTTAAAGCAGAATTTGTTGCAATTATTGAAACACAGTTCTACGTTTGGTTTGCACAGAACTATTAGTCTTTTTAGAACCCAGTTCTTGACATCTCAGTTTTCATGCCTTCTCCAAGCAATAAAGGACACACAGAGGCTGTAGCTGACAAACCCCGGAACATGAGAGACCACCTTTTACAACAAAGAGACATACCCTTGCACTTAACACTGTGACTTGAATCTACTTCCTTGACACTCTCTGTGTTGTTTCTCATTAAACAAAAGGCTCACCATTACTGAGACATTTAAGGTTATGTGACTCTGGAAAAGCCCATTAATTAGGGAATGCAAAGTTGTGAGGAAGTGTCAAACAACATTTATTCTACTGGAAAGTTCAATTCTTGATTGCATGAGCTGCTAAAGTGAGTCCCACCAGCCATCTGTTCTAGTTAGGGTTTCTCTTGCTGCAGTGAAACACCATGACAAAGGAACTTGGGAAGGAAAAGGTTTAATTGGCTTACACTTCCACAGCAGTGTTCATCATCATCATCATCATCAAAGAAAATTGGACAGCAACTCAAACTGAGCAGGAACCTGGAGGCTGATACAGAGGCAGTGGAGGGGTGCTGCTTGCTGGCCTGCTCCTGAAGGCTTGCTCAGCCTGCTTTATTATAGAACCCAGGGCCACAGTCAAGGGATGGTTCCACCCACAATGGGCTGGGCCCTCCACCATCAATCACTAATTAAGAAAATGCTCTACAGGCTTGCCTACAGCCTGATCTTATAGAAAGGCATTTTCTCAATTGGGGTTTCCTCCTCTCAAATGGCTTTAGCTTGTGTCACATTGACAGAAAACTGTCCACCACTTCATCTTTAAAGACGAAGGTGAGAAACGCAGAGCAGGAGAGTCCAGGAAAGTCCAGTTGTTGCTCCCCAGCTGTGTGGTGAGTTCACCTTGCAAGGTAGGATCTTGCAACATTTGGAAGCTCCACAGTTAAGGATCATGATAGCGAACAGACTTTTTGCACATTTGGAGACTATTTAATTTTCATCAGGTGTATATGCATTTCTAACCTGTCCTTTTTGTCTCCTTTGAATATCATAGATTTGTAGTTTTCAGTGAGGTCAGACTGAATTGGCTGTCAGCAGTCCTAGGTTCTGATGGGCACTGATTGCTCTTTTTGTTTGTTTGTTGTTTTGAGACAGGGTTTCTCTGGGTAGACCAGGCTGTCCTTGAACTCAGAGAAATCCGCCTACCTCTGTCTCCCAAGAGCTGGAACTAAAGGTGTGCTCCTGGAGTCAAACTCCAGGCTGCCGTGGCAAACACCTTTACCCATTCTTCTGGGACTAAGAACCCTCAAGTTGGAGCTCTTATTTCCAAGACATCCAGGACAGAGAATGAGTAAGATTTAGGCAAATGATGTAAAAAAGACAGAGAGCTTGACCTAGACATTTAAGAGGTGATATCTTCCAGCAAGCAGGAAACACTGATCAGGAGCTCGGAGGGAAGAAGGGGTAGATGCATGCATTGAAACTTGTTGGCTTGCAGATTAGTTTAAATGAGAAACTGTCTGGAGAGAAGGTGCAGAAGGGAACCAGGGCCTGTGAGAGAAGGTCAAGCAGCAGTGACAGAAAGGAGCAACTTGTGAGATTGCCAGGTTGTAGGGAGTGGCAACTCAGGAGCCACAGGAAGGATCACTTTGAAGAAGTGACAAGATACCAGGCAAAATGTGGTTGGAAGATATATCACCGAATTTAGTAATGAGTAATAAGCTTGCTAAGAACAACTTTGATAGAGAATCAGTGGAAAATGTGTACTCAAAGGCTATTTTAAATCTATACACTGTCAACTTAAATCTGACCTGTAGAGTATAAGCCTTCCAACTAGATTCTGTCTTTCTTCAGACAAGGTCTGTTTTCACTGATTAAGACAGAATAATCATCATTTAATTTTTCTCTGGCTTATGAACATGTAGGTTTATTTGCTGACTTTATTTCATTCTGAGCTTTATATTTTAGCACAATGTCCAGCTCTTACTAGGTGCTGTATATGGTTTTTTTTCCCCTTTGAGGCAGAATGTCTCTGTGTGTAATTTTGGCTGTCCAGAAACTCACTCTATAGATGAGGCTGGCCTTGAACTCATTAAGATCCACCTGCCTCTGCCTCCTGAGTGCTGGGATTAAAGGTGTGCACTGCCACAAATTGAAGTATTAAAGTACCTGGCAAGCAAAACTTCTAAAGCAGATATTCTTCAGCTATAATGTGGAAATATGATCTAAAGGAATTAATTAGTTGCTGATCTTACTCATTTTTCTTCTTCTTTTTGCTCCTCTCATGTTTCTGGGACAGGTGTGTGCCTCTAAAAACGAAAGGAGGTGGAATTGTAACCTGACTATGGATTCTGGAGAAAGAGTGCTCAGCAGCTAAAGGGAAGAATCAGCCTGTGTGTAGTTCTTGGCAGTGATGTATCAGTGCCACAACTTCATTAATACTTCCCACACGAGCAGCAACTGGCCACAGGATGTCCGTGTTGTCCTGTATAGCTTAATGTCACTCATAATTCTGGCCACTCTGGTTGGCAATTTGTTAGTAATAATTTCTATATCACATTTCAAGCAACTTCATACTCCCACCAATTGGCTCCTTCATTCCATGGCCACTGTGGACTTTCTCCTCGGCTGTCTGGTTATGCCCTATAGCATGGTGAGAACGGTTGAACACTGTTGGTATTTTGGAGAAATCTTTTGTAAATTTCACACCAGCACCGATATTATTCTGAGCTCAGCATCCATTTTCCACTTATCCTTCATTTCCATCGACCGCTACTATGCTGTGTGTTACCCTCTGAGATACAAAGCCAGGATCAACATCTTGACTATTTTTTGGATGATCCTCGTTAGTTGGAGCATCCCTTCTATTTTTGCCTTTGGAATGATCTTCCTGGAGCTGAACTTCAAAGGAGTTGAGGAGCTGTATTGCAAACAGATTGGCTACCTGGGCGGCTGTTTTGTCTTCTTTAACAAAATCTCTGCGGTACTGGGCTTCGTGACTTTTTTCTATATACCTGGATCTGTTATGTTATTTGTTTACTATAGAATTTATTTCATAGCTAAAGGTCAAGCAAGGTCAATTAATAGTACAAATCTTCCAGTTAGATTGGAAGGGAAAAACAGAATGCCACAAAGCAAGGAAACAAAAGCTGCGAAGACCTTGGGGATATTGATGGGTGTTTTCCTGGTATGCTGGTGCCCCGTCTTTTTCTGCATGGTCGTGGACCCTTTCCTATACTATGCTGTCCCACCCACTTTGAATGATGCACTGGCTTGGCTTGGGTACTTGAATTCTGCCTTCAACCCAGTGGTTTATGCATTCTTCTATCCCTGCTTCAGAAGAGCACTGAAAATGATTCTTCTTGGTAAAATTTTCCAAAAAGATTCATCTAGGTCTAAGTTACTTTTGTGATGCAACCCATGAAACTGCTATATTCTACCATCTTGTGAAAACAGTGGTGGAGTATATGTATAAGAATAGGAACCAACAACCATGGGCATGAGATTCATGGTTGAGTTAAAATACACATTGTGAACTAAACTTTGGTGTATGTAGACAACCTCCTATTGGACATAGAATAGATGTGATTTTTGCCATTATTTCTATACATGTTTAACTGTGGTGAATCTTGTATTAAAGACAAAAATTTTCCCTGCTTTTAGATGACCTTCTTTGAGTTGACAGTGGTGGTTTATTCATTTAGCAATTGAAATCACAAGGTTGAATTTATAGTACAAATTGGAAGAAATTTGCCATGTGTGTGTGTGTGTGTATGTGTGTGTGAAAACAGGGAGAGAAATAGTGGCTTCTAGTAATATACCTTAATAGGAAAAGATTATAAATTATATACATTGATTTACGATTAGGGTAGTTCTCAAACAGATCTTACAGAAATAACTTCAAGTTAAGCATCACTAGAAACTTGGATGCATTTAATAATAGTGACATTTTCATGACCAAATTAAACAAAGATAGCCAATAAAAATAATTAAAATGTACATTCCACTGTCTGTTCATAAATCTGAAGATCTTCTAAGGACGTATTAAATCTTCTGTCCTGGACATAGTGGCTCTGTAATCTCAGTACTGAAGAGGCAGAGGCAGGAGGATTGTCCTATGTTGAAGGCCAGCCTGGAAAACAGAGCAAATTCTAGGCAAGGAAGGATTACATAGTAATACCTTGTATCAAAGGGAACAATGTAGCAACAACTACAAAACCCTACCCTACCCTTTGTTTTTTGTTTTGTTTTGTTTTGTTTGTATTTGTAAGGCAAGGTTTCTTTGTGTAGCCCTGGCTGTCCTGGACTCACTTGTAGACCAGGTTGGTCTTGAACTGATAACGATCCACCTGCCTTGGCCTCCTTGAGTGCTGGGACTACAGGCATGTGCCACCACACTTCGCATGGTTGGCTTCTTGATTGGACTAGAGTTGGCTCTAGTACACTTTTAAGAACAGTGTAGCCTGTGGAGATAGTATATCATGATACAGATTGCCTTTATTCAGTCTAAGACCTTACCTTTGAGATTTGTTTGTCAACTTGCAAAAGGGAAACAAGGATCTTTTGAAGAATTTTCTATACAGTGAATTTCTGTGGTTTTATTTATTCCAGGATGTTCCTTAAAGATCATTTCCAGATTTTGTGTAAATGTTTTAAAATCTGTCATATTGATTTATATAAGGTGAAAGGCTCTAGAAATGAAGACACAAAGATCCAGAAATAACTACCTGGTGTTCTATGCACTCATGTGGACACATGACTAGAGGACAATAAATAAGGTACAGTTTAATGGTGAAAAACTGAGTGAAATTGAAAAAAAAACATTTAGATGTAACCATTGTTGTTGGGACACAATAAAGCTTACATTATATTTTCATTTGATTTGTGTGAATTTTGTAATAAACAAGCATGCTAACCTTAATATTGTTTTAACTTCTTTTAAATAATAATTTTTTGAGACAGGGTCTTAATATGTAGACACACAGATAGATAGATAGATAGATAGATAGATAGATAGATAGATAGATACATAGATACATAGATACATAGATATATAGATAGATACATAGATAGGAGAACTTGAAATGGGCCTTTGAAACCTCATTGCCTACCCCTCAGTGACACACTTACTTCAACAAGGCCACACCTCCTAATCCTTATAATCCTTTCAAATAGTGCCATTCCCTGAGGACTGGGCATTCAATATACATGAGCCTATGGGGGAATTTTTTATCCAAACCACCATAATCAGGAACACAGAGCTGCAGCAGAAATAGAGAAAATTTATCAAGAAAATGTATATGTATATGTATATGTATATGTATATGTATATGTATATGTATATTTTAAGAGAGTTTAGCAGCTCAAAGGCACATTGACACACAAGTTGAAGTTTCATGACCTGGTGGAATGGGCATTTTGGCTTGCTTGGATAGCTGGCTTTTCTGAGCATAGTCTATTACATGAGGCTTTACTTGTAGCTTCGTGAATCATGAATCTCTTCAGCATCTTAAAGTTCTACCCAGGGATGTGCAGTTTCTATTGCAATGAACTATAGGTTACTCTTAGAACCTTGCACCAGGGCATCAGTGACCCTTCTTCTCTGGTGGAAGCCAGTTGTCTTCAGTGTCAGCAAGAGGTGTGGGGGCTGCGGGACATGCTCCAGCTTTCCTCTCTGCCAACTTGCTTTTTCATATGTGAAAATTTGTAAGGCTTTGTGCCTGGCTTTCTGGACCTCAGTCTCTGCCTCATCTTGAAGAGAAATCCCTACATACACATTGTTCACATGACCAAACAAGTAGCAGTAAGAGGATGCAGGAGGTTAGAAACTTAGAAATAGACAGGAGGCCAAGTGTGCCAGGCCACACACTCGATGCTCTTTCATGTTTCAGAAAGCTGAGTAAACTGTGGGAACAGCAAAGGGAATCGCTAGCTTTACCGCCACGTGTGTCCGAGTGAGCTTGATGTGGGTAATAATGTGAATTCTTTGTTACCAGAAAAGCTTTAAAAATCTTCCTCTTTAAGCAAAAGGAACTCTAGTCTTCAGCAGGCAAAAACAGGAAGTTTGTAGCTTGAAGGCAAGCTTCAACTAGAAGCCAGCTCTGAGCTATTGTGTGGGCTACCTAGTGAGATTTGGGCACCGGGCCTGGGCACCGGGCACTGGAAGAAAAGGAGGGTTGAGAAGGAAGGAAGAAAGAGAAAGAGGAGCTCTAAGTTACTCGGTGTAAGCATCAGGGTGAAATGGCAGCAGGATAGTGAAGCCTGCAACATACTTGGAAATGAACACCAGAGACCTGTTTGTGACCCTCTGTGGGTAGTGTTAGAAATCGTGCAGCTGTGAGAGTTACACGGTGGGTTCACAAATCACACCACGAGACCGGTTTCACATGGGAGGTTTATTAGGGGAAGGGAAAAGGGGTCACAGAGAGAGGAGGTGAAAGAGAAAGAGAGGGGAGGGTCTCCGAGAATTCTCTTATAAGGTGACCCAGAGCATGCACAGGTGCTTCCACGTGATCAGTGGGTGGTCTTCTGGTGACTTCACCAATGCCTGCTTACTGATCCCAACATTCCTCCCTTTTTGTTTTATTAAAAAGTGAGGAGCCAAGAAGGGGTGACAGTGGGGGGAGGGCACAGAGATGACTTTTGCTCTTCAAGCTACTTCCTGCTGATTAGTGGCGTTGTCCTTCTTGGGGTACAGCTGTTCCCCACCATCGGGGTCATAGTCATCTGGTTCTGTGGGCAAAGGTTGATAATCCTGTAGGAGTAACTGATTAATGGTTTGGTTAGAGACTTTTTGCATTTGTTGTTGGAAGAATATAGTGAGGAAGTTAAACAGGGTGCAAAAAACAAAAGCAGAAAGACAAGCAGGAGAGGTGAGACAAAGGGCAGAATCCATTTCCATATGGGACTCTCAAAGGCCCAAGAGCTAGAGGCCTCCAGCTCTTCTCTTCATTTTTGTAAATCTCTCTGGAGTTGTTGGATTTTGTCCTTTACTATACCTGACTGATTGACATAAAAACAGCATTCCTCCTGGAGGAAGGCCACCTTCTTCAGCTGTGAGGAGATCCAATCCACGTAGGTTTTGAAGTACTACTGCTGCCAGCGAGTCAGTCTGTCCTTGGAGGGTTAGTATTGTCTGAGCCACTTGCTGAAGGTCCTGGATAAGCTGGGAAGAAAGCTGATAATACAGGGTTAGTGAGGTGGCTAGTTCTGTTGTTCCAGTCCCTAGAGCTGCCATGATTCCTGCAGCAGCCAGCAGGGGCAGGATTTGAATTGCCCTCTTTTTTTTTTAATTTTTATTAATTACACTTTATTCACTTTGTATGCCCCCATAAGCCTCTCCCTCCTCCCCTCCTGATCCCACCCTCCCTCCTCCTTCTTCACGCATGTCCCTCCCCAAGTCCACTGATAGGGGAGGTCCTCCTCTCCTTCCTTCTGATCCTAGTCTATCAGATCTCATCAGGAATGGCTGCATTGTCATCTTCTGTGGCCTGGTAAGGCTGCTCCCCCCTTAGGGGGAGGTGATCAAAGAGCAGGCCAATCAGATTATGTCAGAGGCAGTCCCTCTTCCCATTACTATGGAACCCACTTGGACACTAAACTGCCATGGGCTACATCTGTGCAGGGGTTCTAGGTTATCTCCATGCCTAGTACTTGGTTGGAGTATGAATCTCTGGGAAGACCCCTGTGTTCAAGTTTTCTGGTTCTGTTGCTCTCCTTGTGGGGTTCCCGTCCTATCCAGCTCTTACTATTTCCCACATCTTACATAAGATTCCATTCACTCTGCCCAACAGTTGGCCATAAGTCTCAGCGTATGCTTTGATAGTTTGCAGGGCAGAGCCTTTCAGAGGCCCTCTGTGGCAGGTTCCTGGGTTGTTTCCTGTTTTCTTCTTCTGATGTCCATCCTCTTTGCCTTTCAGGATGGGGATTGAACATTTTAGTCAGGGTCCTCTCTCTTGATTAGTATCTTTAGATGTACAGATTTTAGTAGGTTTATCCTATATTACATGTCTATATGAGTGTGTATATACCATGTATGTCTTTCTGCTTCTAAGACAGCTCACTCAGGATGATCTTTTCCGGATCCCACCATTTACCTGCAAATTTCATGATTTCCTTGTTTTTCATTGCTGAGTAATATTCCATTGTGTAGATGTACCACAATTTCTGCATCCATTCTTCGGCTGAGGGGCATTTGGGTTGTTTCCAGTTTCTGGCTATTACAAATAAAGCTGCTACAAACATGGTTGAGCAAATGCCCTTATTGTGTACTTGAGCCTCTTTTGGATATATGCCTAGGAGTGGTATGGCTGAATCTTAAGGAAGCGCTATTCTTAGTATACCTAAGTGACCCCCAAAATTCTACCAGGGAACTCCTACAGCTGATAAACACCTTCAGCAAAGTGGCTGGATACAAAATTAACTCAAAAAAATCAGTAGCCCTCCTGAGAAAGAAATTAGGGAAACAACACCCTTCACAATAGCCACAAATGACATAAAGTACCTTGGTATAACCCTAACCAAGCAAGTCAAAGACTTGTATGAAAAAAATTTCCAGTCTCTGAAGAAAGAATTAAGATATCAGAAGGTGGAAAGATCTCCCATGCTCATGGCTTGGCAGGATTAACATAGTAAAAATGGCCATCTTACCAAAAGCAGTCTACAGATTCAACGCAATTCCCATCAAATTACCAACACAATTCTTTACAGTCCTGGGAAGAAAAATCCTCAACTTCATATGGAATAACAAGAAACCCAGAATTGCTAAATCAATCCTCTGCAATAAAAGATCTTCTGGAGGTATCTCCATCCCTGATCTTGAATTGCCCTCTTCTCCTGCTGGGCAGCTTTTGAGTCCACCGGGATTGGTAGGGGCTCCCTTTCGTTTATCACCCCGTGCTCAGAGAGGAGGAGTACCAGAGTGCCAACTCCTGACCAACGAGCAGGCAGACGATGGTAGACCTGCGTGCCACAAACAATCGAGTTATTATTAGCGGTAGGGCATTGGGATTGAGATGAGGTATCAAGGATTATAGGTTCATTACATTCTAAGGAACTTAGCATTCCTACAGAGTGTGTCCCAGATGCCTTGAAACAGCTTGTCACACCAAAGAGGGTGATATGAAAAGTAGGGGGTTGTGGCAACATCAGAGTCAGGGCAGTTAATAAATGGTGAGGTGAGGTTGCTTGACAGTCACTGCAGAGGCTGTTAGCGGTACCTCTGACTTGGTCCCCTGTGGTACACACAGCCAGCAAGCTTTAAAATGGCCCAGTTGGGTCACATTAAGGAGCTTGTAGGCCGAGGTCAGAGTCTGAAGTAGGAGATGAAATGACAGGTTTGTGTTATTTAGGAAAGGAGATATTAGAGAGGTAATGACCTTAGAGGAATGTTTAATTATCTCTTTTACTTCTCCCCTTCCCAGATTTTGGGTAATTGGGACATATTTTCTCTGGATATGGATAGTACTTTTCAGTAGATCGGGTGTGTAGCGGCGGTAGAGTTTTCCAACGATGCCTGCTTCCCATCTGGCATCCCATGGGTCTTGGATGTATAAGTAGAGGGTCTTTTTGTACAGGTGAAGGAGCTTCTTCTGTGCTGGTGAGTGGATTTGCCAAGACCAGTACGGGCAGCCTCCATACCTGTCCAGCCATTTTTTGCAATAATCCTTTGTTTGATCAAAGAGAAAGCAAACAAAAATTCTGTCAAATAAGAGGGGAGGGATAGATGTGGGGGTGATGGCTATTTCAGTTGGCTCCTGACAGCCTCCCATAGAACAATTTCCTGACCCTATTTGGAGAGACTGTTCATTATTAATGATGGTTTTTGGAACCTCAAATCTCCATACATAGGTATTACCTTGAACAGAAATAGGCAAGAGGAATAGGAGGAAAAATACATATTCAATCCAGTAGGGTCAAGTACAGCTCCTGTGGTGAGGACTCATTTTTCTGGAACTGGACAGGGTGATTGATCTTGGTGTCTTTTGGAGCTTGAGGGAGCAGGGTATTGTGGGAGTTGATATGTAGGAAGGAGCATTATCTTGAGGAGAGGGGGTGAAAGGCTTAAGGTGGGATAGATGAATCCAGTGAGGGAAGCCCTCTCCACCAAGCCCATGGAGCAGCTTCTCATAAGCATTTTCTCAAGCCAGGAAAGAGAGAATGATAATTTTTTTTGGGGGGGGGACAATTTTATTTGTCATTGAGATCACAAAAACAAAGAAACAGTATGTTGAACCGAAATTTCCTTTATACAAAGTATTAAAATACAATAGCATTTCTAAAATGAAATAGGTATATAGTTGTATTCATTAAGCTAAGTCAAAAACTATACAATAAAGAAAAACATCAATGGGGTAAATGAAGACACTCCTAAATTCCCATTTCATCGAGCATCAAAAACCACCAATCTTTTAGTCCTTTTCTTGTACATTATTCTGTATCCACATTCTCTGCATCTGATTGGATCCCTGGATTTTATTTCATTTTCGGTGTGACACTCTCCACAAATATATATCATTGGCTGCTGCTTTGGGGGTTGAACGTCTTTCTGGGTGTCCATTGTTAGTGCCTCCGAAGCTCAAAGACTCCCTTCTCGGTCCACGCAAAAACCTCAGATCCCAAGAGAATGATAATTTAAGAGAATTTTATATTTGTAAAAAAAAAAAAAAGTTAGTTCTGGAGTCATTTCTTGAAATATCAAAAGTTTCTAAGCTCTATGGCCCCTTAGCAGCTTAGCTCAAGACTCCCAGTTCCTCAAGGGCTAAGGACTGTGTTGACTGAAAAACATTTTGTGGTTTAGTATGAATCACACCATTAAAATAATGTAGCGGCTTCTTCATATTGTGAATTTCATTCAGTGGAATAAACCTTTGTCTAAGATTACATTCACACTGAACTTCAAGGTTACAATGTTCTCTTTTATGAAAACATGATACTAATGAGCAAAAAGCTTCTCAATTTTCAATTTTATTTTCATTATTTTTAATTGTGTGTATATGAATATATCTGTATGTACCTGCCTACAGCTGCCTGCAGGAGCCAGAGGGTCAGATCTCCTTGGAGCTGGAGATACAGACGATTGTTAGCTGCTAGACTGGGGTTCTGGGATCAAATTCAGCTTCTCTGGAAGAGCATTAGGATGCATTCTTAACCACTGAGCCAGGTCTCTCTGGCCCCAGCAGAAAGGTTTTTGAAATAATCTTATTTGACAAACATGTTTGTTCTTTAATTAAAAACCTATGACCTCTCTTAGTCTACTACTTTAGCCTGTTTATTACCTAATAGAATAAAAAGCAAGTATAAAACATATCTGGAAGAACATAGTTTTCAGGTAAATAAAGTCACAAAGAATGTCAAAAACTCTCAGTGATTTTTTTTTTCTGAGAAAAATGTGACCAAGACAAGAGCCAAACACAATCAAAACTTCCTAAAACCTTCCTGCACTGTACCAATGCTCCACGGGTCAAAATAGTTTCCTTCAGTGCATGTAACATGGTGAGGCATTTCAAAATGCCAATTATTTATGAGCAAACAAAGTGGATACTTAGTAGAGGGTTTTCTTGCAGCAGTGAACCCGGGCTGAGGCTGAGGTGGGTGTCGCGTCAGCTGTGTGGTTTTCCAGAGGCCTCTCGAACTGCCCACAATGGTGACCTTTGCATCAGAAGCAGCAGGTTGAACCACAGTCACTGCTTTGTGTTTTTGCATCAGCTAAAGTTTTCTTTCTCACGTTTCACACTTGGACTTCACTTAATAGTGTGAGAATTCCCCTAAGAAGTTAGTAGTTTCTTAAATGAAGCCCTGTGACAAATGTTTTCCCATATGCATTAAGGGCAGCTGCTTACACAGGGACTCAGATGATGAAAACTGTCAGTGACACCAAACAGAAGTGTTAACAACGCCCACTGAGAAGGAAGTGCCACTCTGCCATGTCTCTGTGGACTGAACTGTGGCTTCAGAGTGTGGCCCTGTAAATAAAGCTCAGTGGGCATCGGTAAAGAGCCAATCAACACACTTAATTACTCCTATTAGCAATTCTCTCAAGACGGTGTTAAGCAAGCAGGAGGCTTTGAAAACAATGGCATCACGAGCTTGAAATACAGGATAGCTTAATTTTTAAATTGCAAAGTTTTCTGTATGCCTGTTTATTCTCCTAAGCATGGAAAACCACAGAAAGCTGGGTGAGCCAGGGAAGCCATGCAGATTGTAAACTGAGTTTTCTACTTCCATGGTGCATATATGCCTAGAAACAGTAAAATAAAAACAACAAAGGAGAACTGAAACAAAACACAATAGCACCTCCTTTACCCCCACCTTGTGTGTCTGTGTGTGTACATGTGTGTGCACACTTGTGTGTAGGCACGCAAGCATGTGTGTAAGCCAGATACATTTCTTTCTTGCTCTCTACCTTGTTTTCGAGACAGGGTCTCTCTCTGAACCCAGAGTTGATTTTTTTTTTTTTTTGGCTAGCGCCAACATGCTTACAAGCATGCGGGTCATGGCCCACTTCCCCAGCTCCCCAATTTACTAACACATTCCAGTGTGTGCGTGTGTTTTCACTTGTAAAGTGGATACTGCATTGTTTTTGGGGTTCCCATAAAGATGTATTCATCATCTGTCCATTCACATGCTATATATTCATTGGACACTTATGCCAGCCATCGTTTTAGCTGTATTCTGGAAATATAGATACAGAACCACCAAGTTTGCCATGTTTCTGGAATTTGAATAAGATACAGCATTCTGGGAGTGGAATAAGATTAGATTGATCAAAGGTCTGAATAATGTACAGGAACACATGGTTCATATCATACGGTCACCAGTTGAGATTTATTACTCTCACTCCAAATCTAACTGTTGTAAGAGCAAGTTCATTTCACTATTCCCAACGTGGGCCATTGTTGCAGAGATGAAGTGTTAAAATTCATTCTTATCATGTTTAAGCTCAGATCACAGCAATCCATTTTTCCCTTTCTCTTTGAATGGCTGACCTTATAGGTCATTGTGATTATACTCTTTATTGCCTTCTAGTTTCTCTTTTGTTTGTGGTGTCCGGTGAAATGAAGCGTTATGTTTGCCTGTTGGGTTTATCCTATTGATAGGTGTTTAAATTTTGGGTGTGCTCAACAGTGACATCGCCTGGTTACCCAGCTACTCTGCTGAACACCACCAGGATTCTGTGATTGCTGCACCTAGAAATTTGGAGTTGATAGTCCTTCCCACACCACACCCACTGTCACACATAGGCCAGGTTTTGTAGCCCAAATGTTCCCTCGTGTGGATTCTGCATAAATCCCACAACTGGCTTGTGTTCTGCAGGTCTTGGTCATGCTGGTCCATTCTCCATGAAGTCACAGATTCATCTGAAGCCCAACCTGGCTGTCTCCTTTTGAAGACCTTCCTGTGACCATATATCTTTGCATTACATCATCATGTCCACATTTGCTAGCTAAGATGAAAGTCCTTTAGTTACCCACTTTTTGATCTGAAGCCCCTTGCCCTTCTTCATATCATGTTTCAGATAAATCAAGTTAGCTGAATTGTCTGAAAACAGCTCTTTTTCAGAACTTTTGGGCTGTGAACAAGCTACTCCTATTTAGAATGCTTTTCATCAAGCTCACTTGCTTATTCTAGAAGCTTTGCCTTAAAAATAATTCTTTTCTGGATTTGCCTGTGCTATGCCCAGTTCACAACCCCAAAAGATCAGGAATAGACTCCGCTGTAAATAGAAGAGGGTTATTTTAAATTGCATACATATTCAAACATGGGACGCAAATTTCCTGTGGAAACAGGAGAGGAATGCGGCCTCACAGTCTAGGGGAACAAGGTTTTTATAAGGCACAACCGCAAGCAGGGACTTACATGCTTTGGCATTACATGATTGGGTAAGGGAAATTGACTTTTGAAATGATTGGTCCACTTTAGGCGCCAAAACCACAAACAGTTCTGGCCTGTTCATATAGGCCAGTTTCTTAGCAACTGTATAATTAGTGGGCGGGGAAAGAATGCATTAAGGCTGTTTTTTTTTTTTTTTTCTTGCACAGGAAGCTGGATATATCTCCATTTGTTGGCCTATGTTCAGGCTCTTGCTTTAAATTTTAAAACAATACCCACTGAATTTTAATCATTTGGTCTCTCACCTGGAGCTGCCCTGCTCAGCCTCATCTCCCAGACTAATTCCAGTCCAGACCTACACTTGAACATTATGGATAACATTGTAATAATTTGTCTTTATAAGAAGCAGATTTTTTTCCTATTCAAATCTCTTTCACTTGAAATATTTGCTTTCTTGCTACTGTAATTTTTAAAATGTGTTTTGACCATCATTCCATTATTGGATGAATAGGCTTTTCTCTCTTCTGTAGACTGTCTTGCACTTCTTTGCTTGCCTCTTTTGCCATATGCTTTTTAGTTTGGTATAGTTTCATTTGTATTTTTCTGCTTTTGCTGTGGTGCTTTTGAGGTCATGTAAAAAAAAATTGCTCAGGCTAAAGTCATAACCATTCCTCACTGTATTTTATTTGTTTTTATAAGTGCTCTTAATCTTGTTACATAAACTGTCTCTCCCTTTAGCTTGCTAAGAGGGTTTATTGAACAGTATAAATAAATTTTCATTTTACCATCTTCCTACTGAAATAATCACATGATTATTCTCCCTTAATTTGATATTGTGATTTTTAAATTATATCCTAATATCAAACTATTAAACCATGTTTTTGACCTTGGGGTAAGCTAATAAAGACAAGAATTTTTATTTTTCTACCAATAGTTCATGTGTTTAAACACCTTTGTAGTTATGTTCTTGAGTAAAATTGAACTTTAATTTCCCTATTTTGTTGATTCTTGTCAGGCTTTATATTAAGTTTATATTAGCTTCATAAAGTTAATTGGAAAATCAACCTTTTTCTGTATCTTGAATAATTTGTCTTTATAGAGTCAGTAGAAATTGCCATTTGTATCATCTATGAATGACCTGGAACTTTCATTAAACGAGCAAATTTTTGTAAGCTAATAAAAATAATAGACAGGGAAAAAAAAAGATACAAGTAACGGCTATAAGAAACATAGGAACAAAGGTGTCGACAGCTGCCTGAGAGGGGACAGGGAGCTGCCCAGGGAGGGGCATCGGCAGTGCAGGCCTGAGCCGGGATCTCTGGCACCTGCATATGAGCATGGTCACGCGTGTCTGTTGCTTCTCAGTGTGGGAAGCAGAGGCAGGTTGAGCTCCAGTTTGCTGGCCTGTCAGTCTAGTCAATTCATGAGTCCTGAGTTTAGTGGGAGACCCTATCTCAAAAGATAAGGTGGAGAGCAATAGTAGAATATGGCCAACATCAAACTGTGGCTTCCATGAGCACATACACATGTGCAATATGCCTCTGTATGCACACGTATACATATGCGCACACACAAACACACATAAAAACGCGCAAGTGATGAAGATGTGCTTCTAAAATATGTATAACACACGTTTGTGTAATATGTGGCAAGGTCTACTGGAAGAGAATTAAAGAAGACCAGGTAAAGATGAAGCCCATCCATGTTACTGAAGGGGAAAATTTTATGTTATACAGATACTATTAATATCCACTCAAAATCCTATGTAGTTTTTGCAGAACTTGGAAAACTGGTGAATGTCTAAAAGATCAGAAATAGCAAGGTCATTTTAGGAGGAGGAAGAAGAGGAGGATGAGAAAGAGATCTTACTCTGCTAAGTATGAAGATGGTGTGAGGTTGTGATAGCTAAGGCAGCATGGTATTTGTCCATTATTGAACCAGATGGTAAATTAGAGAGCTCAGAAACAGAAATGAGCTTTGATGGCATATCCACATGCCAGGTCTATGGAGAAAAGTCATTTCATTCAGTAGATGGAAGTGGATAAAGAATTTTTTAAAAAATGAATTGCAGCCTTTATCTTAAATATCATCTATGAATAAGTTCAGCCATTTGGAATACAGTCTTAATTAGCTTCAGCTGTCAACTTGATAAGAGTCCAGAGTCAGGTAGGCTGAGTGAGTGTCGAGGTCGGATTGCCCAGATCAGGTGGTCTTGGAGCAAGTCTGTAGAGAATTGTCTCTACTGTTGATTGGTGTTAGATGGCCCAGCCCACTGTGGGCGGTGCCTTCCCTAGGCAAGTTGACTGTTGATTGGTGTAAGATGGCCTCACCCACGGTGGGAGGACCTTCCCTAGCAAGT